ACATACAAGATTTTTTCTAATTTTGTCGTGATTATTTATAAAATTGTGTTAAAAAATGATTCACCATCATTATTTTGTAGGTACTTCCAATCAAATATTTCAGAAAATTGTTGTATTTCTTTGCCCTACGACGTTTTCTTTTCAATAGTAATAATAAAAATAAGGGACATGAGCAGTATTGCCGATCTGATTTTTGACATTACCCGCGAGAAATTTGAAAAAAAAAACATTTTTACCCATTATCCTTAAAGGAGTACGTCAAAATTGTACCCCCAACATTTCTGGACAGTTTTCAATAATGCTGTTCAATTATTTATAAAATAAAACGCAATTTACAGCTTTTATTTTTTTGTTGTTAAACGTAATGTCATATTTTCAAATGTGAAATGTCACTAATCATTGCCTTTTTTCGATATTTGATTTTTTCGATTTTTCGTTTTTTGGATTTTTCGATTTTTTATTTTTCGATTACTCGATTTTCGATTTTTCGACTTATTTTCATTTCGTAACTGGTGACATAATCAACTTTTCGTAATCAGTTGCATAATGTTCTACTGGTTGCATAAAGTAGATCGTTTTGGCACTTGCTGCGATTACAAAATATATTACTTTATATGTCAAAATTAAAGAAAATAACAAAATGTATATTAAATGGATAGAGTGTTTCTCAAACTTTTTTGGCGACGGAACCTTTTTGAATAGCGAAATATTTGACGGGGCCCTCAACACATAAAACACATAATTTAAAAAATATTTTTAAAATTTTTCTTCATTTTGAGTCTCATTTTGACGTGATAAAAAAATCGGCTTTATATTATGCTCCGATTTCATATATTCAATTTTGTAATTGTAATTTGACAATATTTCTGTTGGCTGAAAATTGGGGTATACCTTTAGCTGGGTTAAAAATAGATACCAGAGGTAAGTGATCTGTAACTGGGATAAAGAAATGTCGATATAAATATTCATTAAATTTATTTAAGCTAAACATTTTTGCAATGCCCTCTCTTTCAATTTTTGAATATTTTTGTTCAGACTTTGATAAGATACGCGAAGCAGAAGCTATAGATTTCTCAATATTTTTTTCAAAAACATGACATATCATGGCCCTTATTCCCACATTTATTCGGCAACTCATGCTGAAAATGCATAAGCACATAATTTGTTGTTAATTTATTTTTGATTAATTCCAAAGATTCCTTGCAAGAATGATCCCAAATCCATTTCACCCATAAAAAATAAAATTAAAAAAAGTCCTAAAGCAAAATCATATCCTCCCTCCTCTTAGTGACTTAAAAAAATTACTTCTCAAAAAAAAGGTCCTCAAGCCAGGTCCCTCCATTTTATGGCGATAGTACTGTTTTTTGCTTTGCGGAGCCCCAGGGCTCCGCGGAGGACACTTTGAGTAACACTGTTATAGAGAAATACTAAATAAATAGTTTTGAAAAAACTATTGAAACCAGTTGTGAAGTTTGAAACGTATAAATTGGCAATGAAATTGATATTTTTGTAATTGTATGTTTCTCTTTCCACTTCCTGAAAACAGATTCCCCATGAAACAAGAAATAGTAAACAGTTTATAAAAATAACCTTTATTTGTTACTTATAACATGTACCAATGACCAAGTCCGATTCTGTTTATTTTCAAATCAACAAATATGGACGTTGACAGAATCTTTTAAAATTAAATATCTCACCGAAATAAATATAAGTTTCTTTTATCTCCGTCATATTTCGCACCTCCGAGCAATTACTAATAGAGGGAGCGTGAAAACGAGTTTGTAGGCGATTGTTGTGTTAGCAACATCTGCAGAGGAAGTGAGGAAGCGGGCACAAGGGGGAAGGTAAACATCCTTCTTGTTCAGTGGCGTATCATTTATCTATAAAAACACACATTGTCCAAACGTTTTAATTGTAAGAAAAAACTAAAAAAAATTGATAATATTACTATTTTTAAAATGAATACCGTCTTATATGTGTCTAATGCAGGAAATAAAACAAAATCACTGTAAAGATATAATTTTTTCAATTGAAGAATAAAACCTTAAAATCAATTTTATAAATAAATACAGGAGCGACTAGTTTCGGCCTTACAGGAACATCTTCAGGACTGTAATACAATAATCTTTAATTATTATAATAGTTTGGTCACTTACGAATAAGATTAAATAGTATAAACCACAAAAATGGATCCATATTGTAGCGTTTCAGTATTATAGAATTAAAGCTGTGAAAATAAAAGAGTAATGCAAACGTAACTAAAAATAAGAAAACTGAGTACGGAATCAACAAGAGAAGAGGTGAGAATGAGCAATTACGAATGCATTTAAATTGCTCGGGATAACAAATAAAGCTGATAATGTAGTAGTATAGTCCCCGTCAAAGAAGGTCTGGATATGTTAAAGAGGACGGCGTTTCCTCTGTAAAACTGGAGAATGTTAGCATGGAGGGAAGACGAATCTTGCTGGCTCAGGTGTAGATGGCTAGAAAAAGGAGCGTGTAGATGAAAGCTCCAGTAAATATCGTCACTTTCTTCTAATTTTTTGTTCTCACTCACCGTTTCGGCTTTATCTTCAAAGTTCATTTTTAAAATGAAATAAAAGTAATCATTCATACAAGCATATAATAAAACAACATGAATTCATTATATTTAATAAGCTAATAAACGTTTGTTTCAATGAAAAAAACATATGTGAATATAAAAAATATATAAATAGATAAGAGTAAGATCAAAATCAATTTGAAAATACAACAGATAATAAAATGAAATAAATTAATACAAGTACAAATAGAAAGTTAATAACATACCTTCTAAAAGTAACACATTTTAAGTAGATAAATGTTTAAAGAGTTTATTCCTGAACATAACTAATCTAACGTTTTTCCCCTTTTTAATATTATGAGGGTTTTTGTAGTTGAAATGAAAATTATAATTTATGTTGGTCCTAATAAAAATTTAAACATAGGTTATCAAAGAGTAAAATACATAATAGAACTTCATAATCTTAAATCGTTATCAAAAATTAGTAATGGTAGAACTTCAAACAATAATTAGATTCGTAAACAAATTTCTAGTTTTTGTTTCGCAAAAGACTTTTTTGCCTTCTTCGGTTGCCTCTGCCACTTTTCTTTTAGTAGTTTCGAGGAGAATTTTCCTATGAAAACCAGTAGAACCATCAATTGGTTGGTAACATTTTGATATTTTGGGTCTGGTATTCTTGTTAAACTTTCTTCTTAGGAAGCTGTAACCTTATGGAGAATAAAAATTTAATGTTAGATCAAAAGCTCTTAATTGAGAATTATATTTGCAAAGGCCGTTTTAATAATATTTTCAAAAGTTCTTGGAATCGTTGTTAACAGAAACCTGCAAAAAAATATATCATTTTATTCCTAAAATATAAGATATCACACAATGCACATTCATATAATATCATTGTGCTAGAAAAATACTAGGTAGGTACTGAGACAATTTAAAAAAAATATTTCGAGAAACTCAACTTTTAATGTCATCATTGTACTTAACTTTTTTATTGCTAAATTATTAATAATGTCATTTTGTGTAGTTCGTTGTGATTTGTATAATATATATTATAAAAACCTATCGTCAATGTTAATGTGCCAAGTTTTTTTAATAATTATGTCCTTGTTATAGTAAAAACACATTTAAACACATTTTTAAAGTTTTCTGGATTTCTGCTTTAAATTATCGTACAATTGAACTGACTAATTGTGTGTTTAAGTAAAGGTATATCTCTTTTTTGTTATAACAGTCTTTGTATATTGTTCTAACTTTTTAGATAATCAGAGAAAACAGTAAGACATCTTAATATATCCTATTTCACCAACAAAAATGTAGAATAATTATTAATCTCACATCAAACGAAAAAAGTCATTTTAGGATGTCCTAATAGGTTTTAACTTAAAAACTAAATAAAATGTATATTGCAACTGTGTTTAAATAAATGAATGTTTTTATACCTGACTATAGCACCAGGCAAACGTTTTTATAGATCATAATGATCTGCATAACTCAAAATAGTCAAAATCCACATTATTTAAGTTGTTCTAGTATTGTTTTAGCATAACGATATTAACTCCAATAATAAATATTCACATTTTTTTTTGGATGTAATAAAAATGTTAATTAGCATAAAAAGTTATTCAGGTGGTCACTTGTTGAATTCCTATATTTTGGAACCATGTATTTCTTTCTCATATCAAGAAAAGGAAACCTAAAAAAATATCAATAAACTTTACAAAGATGTGATATTAAAATAATAATAAGTAATTAATCTTTACTATAATCATTATGAGACGGATGAAGACGAACTTAGCTGGAGATAAGAAAATAAGAAAGTTTAATTGCAAATTAAAGGTGATTGCCTAATGCACCGCCTCTGATAATTAGGTTGTGTCTGTACTTACTTATGATATTATCTTTAAGAAGAATTTTCAACAGGCCTTTTACACATAAAGCATGTTTTCACCATATTATTAGAGATAATAAATCTTAAATATACATTTACAACTCTTACAACGTTATAAATAATACTATTTTATGTAAAATACAAATAAGAAATTGACATGTGTCAGAAAGTGTCAGAACTGGCGCTCACAGAACACTTCTGGCGCTGTCAAACTTGGCAACGCTGATTAAATAAGCCAATTACAGAAGAGGTATTTTCCCCCTCGGGGGGAGTAGATGATGCTAACAAAATTTAGCGCGGGGAAGGGGGGAAGACTCCCTCTAGTAGTAATTGCTCGGAGTTTCGCACTTTTATTATAAATAAAGCTTTTTACAACACATCTTGGCATTTTCAACGTTAATTTCCAAAATTTAAGTCACTAAAATACCAAAGTAATTCTCGTTGACACATTAAATTTGGATGGACAACGCTCTGACATGTGATGTTATCAACTGTGATTGGTGGGTGTGAATAATTTCGAAATGGGATTATGCGCAGTGTCTTATGTTCCATCTAAAGTTTGTATAATCTAAGTATAAAATAAAGAGTTTGGCAAAGAGATAATTTGTATATAATAATGGCGACGATAGAGGAAGAATTACACGCGCTGAAACGGGTGCGAAGCACCATAAAGGGGCAATTGACCCACATCAAAAATTATTTAGATGGATTGGCTTCAATATCTTGTACCGAAGCAAAAATACGTCTAACTGCTTTAGACAATATTTTAAAGAAATTTACCACAAACCAAGATAAAATTGAACTTAGAAGCAGCGACTCGGAACTCTTAGATGAAATAACGATGCGTAATGAAATGGAAGAAAAATTTATAAAATTGCAAATATATCTAAATGAAATAATCGAAATGAGAAATGAAGTTACAGAAGTAGGAACAAATACAAAAAATCTAGAAATAGCTGGAAGTTCAAGACACTACCCCGAAATAAAAGTAAATTTTACTCCTTATCAAGACAACGAGAGATTTGAGAACTTTATAAAAAGACTCGAAGTTTACATTAAAATACAAGGTGCAGATAGTAATGAAGAAGTTAAGAAACTAACATTACTTAATTATGTTACGCCAGAAATACATCAAACTTTATACGATTTATGCTCCCCCGAGGAACCAATACAAAAGAATTACGAAGACTTAATAAAAATTTTAAGTGACTTCCTAGATCCAAAACCAAGTATTTGGGCAAGACAGCATAAATTCATAAACAGGATGCAACAAAAAGAAGTGCCAATTGCAGAATTTAACAAAGAACTAAAGAAACTTTCAAAAGATTGTAATTTTTTCTGTGAATGTGGTAAATCAAATGCGGAAAATTTCTTACAATTACAGTTTATACGGGGTTTATATGATGACCAAATCAGAATGAGAATTCTTCAAGAGAAAAATAAGTTATCCTACAAAGAAACTGTAGAATTGGCAATAAATACTGCTATGGCAAAACAAGAAGCAGTAGTCGATAAAGATGGAGTATTACAAATTAGAGAACAAAGTAATTTTAAGCAAATTGAGAAAAATACTTATCGAAATAGAAATAAGACTACTTTCAAACCTAAATCTGACCAATGCTACAGATGTGGTGACACAAGACATCGAGCCTTTAACTGTCTTCGGAAAAATCTAGTTTGTTCTTACTGCAAGATTAAAGGTCACATTGCTAAAGTATGCCTCAAACGATTAAATGGTCAAGACAGGCAGAATATATTAAATACCACAGATTTTATAAATGATAATACAATTATAGGTTTCCGAAATTGAAAACAATGGTGAAATTAATTTAATACAGTCAAGAAATAATGACAAATTCATGGTAACAGTTATAATTGAGAACAAATGACTCAAAATGGAATTCGATACCGGGGCAGCGTTGAGTACAATATCCTACAACGATTATTTAAAACTGGAGATTCCAAATAAGATATCATCAACCTCAGTAAATTTACAAACGTATACAGGAGAAACTCTAAATGTGTGTGGTGTTATTTACGTGGGATTTACAATTAAAGAAAATACTTACTATGGAAAATTATACATAATACAAGGGAAAGTAGACCCAATTTTCGGAAGAGAATGGATACGCGAAGCAAACCTCGATTTAAAGGAAATTAATATTGTGGAATTATCTACTAATAGTAACTTAGAAAAAACTTTGTTAGAATTTGGTGACGTTTTTGACGAAAACATGGGAGAAATTCCGAACTACAGGGGACACATTGAATTAAAAGATGGAGTGCAACCAATTTATATAAAGCCTAGACGTGTACCATATGCGATATTAGGAAAAGTAGAAAGAGAACTTGAACGGTTAGAAAAATTAAAAATAATAACCAAAATTGATAGTTCTGAGTGGGGTACACCGATTGTACTAGTTGTAAAACCAAATGGTGATATAAGATTATGCGCAGACTATAAGGTAACATTAAACAAATGTATTAAGGAAGAAAATCATCCTATACCAAGAATCGAAGATATTTTTGTAAAAATGAATGGAGGGAAGTACTTTTGCACATTGGATCTAACACAAGCCTATTTCAAATTATGACATTTTAAAAGGTTTATTTTTTAAAGTGTCAACTTTTATTACACTATTGACTTCATTTTTATACTGTGACAATTTTATTAATTTCTTTTTTATTTTATTTTGATATTTTAACCATTTAGAATTTTATGTATCAGTAGCGTACTGTAAACAAATAAATATGTGAACTTAATTACATAGTTTCTTCCGTAAAAATAACTTTGTAGATAATAAATTTACTTGTTTAATTATTATTAAGAAAATAATATATATAAAGAAAATAAAAAATATGCTCGTTTAAATCGTTGCACGTATTTTTAGTTGATTTTTACTTACTTTGTAATAATCAAAATTGATAGTTCTGAGTGGGGTACACCGATTGTACTAGTTGTAAAACCAAATGGTGATATAAGATTATGCGCAGACTATAAGGTAACATTAAACAAATGTATTAAGGAAGAAAATCATCCTATACCAAGAATCGAAGATATTTTTGTAAAAATGAATGGAGGGAAGTACTTTTGCACATTGGATCTAACACAAGCCTATTTACACATGGTAATGGACGAAGAAAGTGCCAAATTACAAACCATAAGCACACATAAGGGCATGTATAAAGTTAATAGGCTTATGTTTGGGGTAAAAGTAGCCCCAGGACTATGGCAAAAATATATGGATAGAATTTTAGGTGAACATGATGGTGTTCAGTGTTTCCTAGATGACATCATTATACAGGGAAACACATTTGAGATAACCATGGAACGATTACGTAAAGTGTTGAAGATTTTAATAGAACATAAGACTCAACAAAAGAAAGTGTAATTTTTTTTCAACGGAGTATTGTATATCTAGGCCACATGATTGATGAAAGTGGACTACATAAAACGAAGGAAAAGTGCAGTGCAATAACGAATGCTAAACGACCAGAAAATGTAACACAACTGAGAACATTTTTAGGATTAACAAATTATTACAATAAATTTATTCCAAACCTCGCAATGATTTTAAGCCCTCTAAACAAACTTTTACAAAAGAATACAAAGTATATATGGAATGAACAATGTGAAGAGTGTTTTAAGAAGATAAAACAAGAGATAGCCAGTGAACGTACTCTTGTCCACTATAATCCAGAATTACCGTTAAGGCCAAGTTCAATTTTGTTTGACATATCATCACGATTTTTTTTAGGTTAGAAAATTGCATTATCGATTTTTTTCATTCGAATAAAAGACGTCACTTTAAATTTCTATCTCTTTATGTCAACAAATTTCTAACACGATGAATTTATAAAACGTATGTCACTAATGAATATGTGGCGGCAACTGACGGCAACACTGTCAGCTACTCCATGGCTACTAGAGTACATACAGGTCCGGTATAAGCCATGGAAAATAATAATTTAATGTTTTGATCTAGTTAAATAAAATATCAAAATTAAATGTTTATTTTTAAGTAAACGATATTTTTAAATGTATACGTCTTCAATCAAAAATAATATAGGCAATACTCAAGTGTATTATACGAGTGTACTGGACAAGAGATAATTTTACCCTTTACTCCAGTTTTTTGTAATGAAACCAGCGGTAAAATAGATATTTGTGTGCCAAGGCTGTGTTTTGGCCGAATTAAGACATATGCGTTCAAGTCTAAGCTAGTTCTGGTTAAGTATAAGAGTAATAGGCAAGAAACGGGTGTTCAATCAAACTTGACATCGAGATAGATGTCACATAAGCAGGTGTACTGAAGATGAACTTTGCAGGAGCAAGCATCAGATAGGTATAACACTTGATATTCTGAAAACTATGTGGATACTACACTGAATAAGAACGAATGGAAGTGTCAGAAGGAGGCTAAAGGCAAAAAATAGATGGAACAGAGCCTAATAGATAGATAAGTCATATTTTAGCCAGGAGAGAGTCGATGAGTGTTATATAGTTATTTATGAATGTATTTTTAATGTATAATTTCAGTTTATTTTCATTTTTGGTATAAAACTATGGCTGACATAATAAAACTCTTAAAAGTATATATATTTTCAATCTTTATTACTATACATTATTTAGTATTCATTTATTCTCTCTGACCTAGGGAAAAGGTCAGAAAACCCTGGTCATAATTGTTTACAATGTTGCGTGTTCCTAATGATACAAAACATTACAGAGGAATGATACTTAGCCGATGAAATCTCATCGAGTTCACGCATGACATATTTTGGTATAAAATATGGCTATATCTGATGCATCTGCAGATTTAAATTTATTTTTGCGTACTGTTTTCTATCAACTGATACCCCAAATTTATACAAGCCACGTCTTCGCACCACAATGTGACATAGCATCAAATCTGCTTAATCTCGTACCATTTTTTTAAAGTATCAAGGATATTCTTGGTGTAGCTGATCATCATGTTTCGAGTCACTGAACCTAAAAAATAACAAATATCAATAAATAGAATTCGGAATTTATTCCAAAAATATTTTTCTTTAGGAATTATATAGGATTTCTCGTTAATATACTGACAAACTTTTAAAGGTGGTAGGTGCATCAAAATAAACATTTTTTTGCTTAATAAAATAAAAATAATTTATATTGCCCAACAAATTAATCCATTTACAGAACAAAATACATGAAATAAATGTTAAACATAATATTTCGACAGAAAATAATTTTAGCAACAGCAAGAAAAAAAAAGGAAAGAAAGAATCCTAAATACATTAGCTACAAATTAGTACAACTAATGGTCGAAATAAATATCCCAATCAGAACAAAATTAATTAAAATTTGAGCACATTAGCCTTATAGGTGAATTTCTTCCCAAGTTCATTCAAATACTTGCTGTATAAAATGTTTTATGATATCTAATGGCTGTTTGGGGAACATTAAAATTTATTTAATTTATCAAAAATAGTACATCAATAGTGTTATGTAATATTTTATAAAAAAATGTAACACTGGAAACTACCCTTCTATTTTCGAAAGAAGCAGAGATTCTTCAATACCTCGAATGGGATACAGCTCATCTATTTTAAAAGAAAGGTACTTGAGAGATCGCCGCTGAACATTTTCCAATGATCTTTTATCAATATTGTAAATAAGGTTCCAGATAAGAGATGCATATTCTAGCCTGGAACGAACTAAAGAAAAGTAAAGGATCTCCAAGCTTTAAGAGTTTGTAAAAGAACGAGTATTACGAATTAGCAACCCTAAGCTTTTCAACGTAGAAGCAACTGTATTTTCAATATAATCCGAAAAAGTAACTTTTTGGTTGAATAATGTAACTTTTTGGTTGAATAATATACCTTAATCTTCAATTTGTGCACAAGTCCGATAAATGTAGGCTGTTAAATAAATAATCAAACTCCACCTTGTTAATCAATCAATATATGTTTATTGTCAAAGCTACAAGAACTTATAGATATATAATACTTCTAGTATAGGAACATACTTCATATTTAGACACATTCATTCAGCTTGTTTTCATTACACCAATTTTCAACGATTCCCAAGTTGGGTCTGTAAAAAGTAACAATCTTGAATTGATGAGATTGAGGTAAATATTTTTAAGTCAGCAGCGAACAGCAGGTTAAATTTATTGCCAAGTCATTTATAAATATACTAAATAATAGTGGTCCCAGATTGGAGCTCTGTGGAACTCCAGATGTTGCTGTGAGGGGTGAAGATGAAAATTCGTTGTAAAAGACATAATTAAAACGATGATTAGGTAAGATGAAAATAATCTCAACAGCGACTGATCAAACCCTAAGCATTCCAACTTCCTTACAAGAATATTATGATTTTTAATTATTACAAAATACATTATGTATGTACAAAAAATATTCTAAACATATTTTAACTAACAAGAGTTTTATTTTTAACTAGTTATATTCAAAAACAAATGTCATTTTTAAAACTATGTTTAACAATAACCGATGAGTATACAACAAGGTTCACAGTTTAAACTAAGTCTACATTTTAACTGCCTATTGTACAACCCGCCATATGTACAATTAAAAATTAATTGTATTTCTTTAAAATGCACCTTATTCTGTTGATCAAAACCATTCGATAAAAAAATTAAAAAATATTGGTATAAAGGTGGTTTTTATATATATGCTATAAAGCATGCATTGGGGTAGCATGTAGATTATCTAAGTATCAGGTCAGAGAGATTAAAATTAAATAACATATCTAGTGGGTTTCTCATCTTTTGAGTACGTCTCCTATCGAGACTCCTATCTTTG